TATATCAGACCTGATACCCACGTTGTACATGCATGCGTCGCTTCACCCAGTTACATATACCAACCTCCAGAGCCAACACAGTGGTGGCATTGTACAGCTCGCCTTTGATGGCGACGGTAAAGAGAACGGCGGTTGTGAGCACGCACAGGAACACCTGACCAACCAGAATGGTCGTGAATAGCACGTTGAACGTTATGGACTTGCGGAACATGTAGCGCCACGGATGCGCCTTGTCTGTGTAGAGAGAGAGAGAGAGAGATAGCGTACTTTGTTTGTGTGTGTGTGCGTAGAGAGAGAGAGAGAGAGGAGGGATCGTGTACTATGTTGTGTGTGTAGAAAGAGGAGAGAGAGAGAGAGAGAGTGTGTGTGCACGATAAGAGACCACACCAGAACGTATGGGTTAGAGAGCCAGGCATAAGTGATTGTAGACAGCTAGTAACTATTCGTATCACAGTGTGCTATATATAGTATGGCCACGTGGTAGCGATGGTATACTTATTATTGGTATCACTTGAGGGTGTGGTGTGTTTGGGTGTCAGGTATGTGGCAGGTGGTATGGGTTATGAGCTGAGCTGAATTGAGATGCATGCGAAGAGGTGAATAGTAGACGCGAAGAGGTTAATTACACACAAACACACGCATACACATACATACATGTGCATATGAATACATACCTACAAGCATATATAAATAAATACCTAGATGTACATATAAATACATACCTACATGCACATAAATAAATACCTAGATGTACATATAAATACATACTTAGATGTACATATAAATTCATACTTACATGCATATATAAATACATACCTACATGCATATATAAATAAATACCTAGATGTACATATAAATACATACCCAGATGTACATATAAATACATACCTACATGCACATATTAAAAAATACCAACATGCACATATACATGAATAACCATATGTACATATAAGTAAATACCTACATGCAAATTAATAAATACCTACATGTACATATACATGAATACCTATATGTACATATAAGTGAATACCTACATGTACTTATAAATAAATACTTACATGTACATAATAACACATACCTACATGCACATATAAATACATACCTACATGCACATAAAAATAAATACCTAAAAGTACATTTAAATAAAGTATTGGCAAGTTCACAGTGCACATGTGCGTGTGAGAACTGCGAGCGCATTAGTGTTGTGTTGTCACACTCAGAAAAGGTGAGAGGTGCAATTGACGACACAAACTGAAAAGGAGATACACGCAAAAGCTCAATAGCATACGCACATACGAACCAACAACAAACACAAACACAAGCATACACCCACACACATAGGATCTAGCAACAGACAGACACACATAGTAACTAGCAACACACACAAGCACACGCACAAGCACAAGCACACACACTAGCACATGCACAAACACAAGCACATATGCTACACTTACCTTGGCCGTGCCAGGGCTGGTACTTGCGGTGGCGCTCCAGTCGTCGCATTTTGGAGAGGAAGGAATTGTCGGCTGGACTCATGTGGTACCACGCACTCTGCGACATCTCTACGTTACGGATGGGAATGTACAGCTCACCGAGCAACTCACTTCCCATGTACATCACAAAGGTCAGGTGGCTGGGGGAGTGGGGGGGGGGGATATGGGGGAATGGTGGTTATGGGAATGGATATGTGGCAATATATTTATACTGATATGTCTATCTATCGATGTATGTAACTGTGTAGCTATGTAACTATGTAACTATGTATATATATA